CATTAATGTTTCTGGTTTATTTGAATACCTTCTTCTCATCTTTTAAACCACTAAAAAAGCAGTCTAGCGCCATAAAGAACACATCTCCCAGCACAACCCCCCATCCACAAAACACATGCTTTTAAAATGGTACAACCTAAAGCAATTTTAATAAAGCAGTAATTTTCAGTCAGTTGAAGCCATAAGCAGACCTTCAGCTCCCAAACAAGTGGCTAAAAATCAACTTTATTGGCAATATACTGACAAAACTCATGAATAAAACCAATATGTTCTAAACCACATTTTGATGAAAAATAATGTCCTAAAGGGGAGAGAATCCAACTGCAGATTTAGTCACAAGGAATAGTGAAAAAACAACTGTTATTTCTAATTTAGAGTTTTGACAGAACATTGTAGAAAAAAGAAACAGGTTATGAAATACAAGTTAAAAAAAAGATTGAGAAAAGAAATTGGAACACGAAAAACAAACAAACAAAAAAATTAATCCAGTTAAAAGAAAAAAAATAAATAAATACATATATTACATACATAACAAAATAACAAATAAAAGCACACTTCAAGAAATAAACATATCTGCCATTCATCATCCGATGTTTTGAAGGATGTATTAACTTCACATCCAACAAGAAGTAACCTTTAAAATTTAATTAGTTTATCTATTATTTGAGTGTAAACCATGAATGGAATTATTTGAAAGAAATATAATTCAACTGTGACAAGATTATCCAAAAGGAAACGATATATAAGTCGAGTCTTTCTAAGTATTTGATCCAGGTCTGTCACCTCACAATGAAACCTATAACTATAGCTTTAGTTTTAGTTTTTAACTATATATTTAGGCTTACAGTAAACACTAAGTATTATTTATATGTAAACTGTTGTGTGACATGGATTTAACATCTTAAAACTTGTAGAAGTACAAATGTAGAATTACTTAAGTAAAGGTAACAAAAACAGAAAAAAATCATATTTTCATGAAATTGCTATGATAATATTATGAAAGAGACATGATAGTTGTATCGCATTCCACATAAGGAGAAGACAGAGAGAAAGAGAAAGAGAAAGAGAGAGAGAGAGAGAGAGTGAGAGAGAGAGAGAGAGCGAGAGAGAGAGCGAGAGAGAGAAAGAGAGAGAGAGAGAGAGAGAGAGAGACTAAACTTATAGTTTAAGGCTTTTGCACAGCCCTGGTACCAAAAATGCATGGCAAACTCACTTCTTATCTTTACTTTTCTGTTTTGAAATATTTATATACCTTCTTGTTGATTATTTGAGCTTACAAAACCTAGCATTGTTCACATGCTCCTCACTACACAGTGTGGATGCAAATGTATGATTGTTGTCTGTGTTCAGTGCTTTGAAAACTGAATTTTGTGTTGTTGAGGTGTAATGCAGCTTTTGTGTACATGCATGTGTGGGGAGATGGTTTGGCACTGTGTGTGTACAGAAGCAGGGATGTTTAAGGAAGGTTATGACTGAATAGTAAGAGTGCTCAATTAAACTATAGATCAACAGCAACACTGACAGAGTTTTAGAAGAGATATGAGGCACAAGGCTTCCGACAGACTCAAAAAGTTTAAGTCACAGGCGTTCTCCTGGCTGCTTGGAACACCTGGAAGTTTATAATCTTTCAGTCTCTTGTCTTTCTTACTGCAGGCTCTGCATGAAGTTCCATGACAGTGAAAATCATCAGCCAGCATAAGCCAAAGTTTTTTGTTGATGTTGTTGTTGTTTTTAGATTTTTATATGCAATTTAATTAATACACACTGCTCCACGTCTACAAACAATAAATCCTTAATGATAATTATCTTGATAATAATAACAAGGATAATAATATAGTCATCATGTGTTGGTTCAGCAGCCTTCTTAAGACATTCATTGTGGTTGTTGCATATGTACAGGAAATCATTTACATCCAAAATGGGTCAGGAGGGGTCAGTGGTTGGAGGTCATCTGAGTCTCTTCTCCGCTGAGTAGATGGACATGTAGTAATCATTACTGCCCACTGCAAGATGAGGCTAAAGGGGTAAAAGAAAAATTATATACATGTGTAAAAGTTTTATTTTTTATAAGAAGTCTTATTATTGGCTAAACGTAAGAAGTTTGTTTGTAGTTTTTACTGTCAATGGGTGAATAGCTTTTGACCAAAATTTAAAACAGAGATGTTTTTGCTGGGGAAAAAATGCCATTTATGACATTTATGCATACTCTCAAAACTCACCTTTTGCATTAAAAAGCACATGAAATGAATGCTTATAATTCACTCAATATAGCACTATTTAATATATTTAGTATATACATATATATATATATATATATATATATATATATATATATATATATATATATATATATATATATATATATATATATATATATTAATACACACACACAGTTGAAGTCTGAATTATTAGCGCCCCTGTTTATTTTTTCTCTAATTTCTGTTTAATGGAGGGAAGATTTTTTCAGCACATTTCTAAGCATAATAATTTTAAAAACCTATTTCTAATAACTGATTTATTTTATCTTTGCCATGATGACAGTAAAAAATATTTTACTTGATATTTTTCAAGACACTTCTATACAGCTTAAAGTGACATTTAAAGGCTTAACTAGGTAAAAAGGGTGAACTAGGCAGGTTAGGGTAATTAGGCAAGTTATTCTATAATGATGGTTTGTTCTGTAGACTATCGAAAAAAAAAATTGCTTAAAGGGGCAAATAATTTTGTCCCAAAAATGAAAATTTGGTTCATTCAAACCAAATAAAAACAAATAAGACTTTCTCGTGAAGAAAAAACACATACTGTGAAAATTTCCTTGCTCTGTTTAACATCATTTCGGAAATATTCAAAAAAAGAAGACATTTGTATCTTTTTCCTTTAGCAAAAACATATTTTTGAACTCAGGTCAAAAGTAGACTGTATTTATGTTTCTGTTCAAATGGATTTGCACATGAAATGTTTCTTCAGTATTTTTTTTGTCTCCAGTCTGTAGCCATGAGTGTATATTGCAATGTAATGCTCATCAAGCTCTTTATTCGAGTCAGCTGAGGGTATAAACAAATGTCCTAAACTGTCAAGTAATTTCTTTAAGCCCGAGGTAACACTTTAGAATAATTATCCGTTATAACTAGTTAATAGTCCAATAATAAACTGTTAGTTAATGAGTTATAAATGACTTGTTAAATAAAAGTTAATAGTTTGTTAATTATTTATAGCTGTACCTTATAGATGGTCAGTAGATAACTTACAAGCTGTTAGTTAATACGTTTTAAATGACTTGTTAACTGTATTTTAATCATTTATACCTATACCTAATATATTAGTAATAAATCATGATCAAGCTGTTAGTAAATTACTTACTAAAGACTTGTTAGGTGTCAGTTAATAGTTTATTTATGTTATTGGGACGTTATTCTAAAGTTGGAACTATTCTTCATTTATTAACTGTTAGTAAATGAGGAATAGTTGCAACTTTAGAATAACGTCCCAATAACATACACAAGCTAAAAACCAACACTAATATATTAACTCACATTCTACAGATCAGTTGTTCAAAGTTTGTTAACTATCTAATAACACCAGTGAAACTTTTGTAGAATTTTTCTAATAAAAGAAATTTGTATTTATTTTGTTTTCATGTTTAGCACAAAAAGTGCCCAAACCTCATGGGTGTGTATTCGTTTGTATACTGCTGTTCTGCCAAGTGAAGGCTCAGTATGTGTGTTTCTACAGTATACATTAAACACAATGTTCAACATTTCATCTGTGGAGTTTTTTTTTTTGGTAAAATACAGCACACAAAAATGCCTATGAGTGGAACAAGGTTAAGGTACAAACATTTTATAATTTAAATATCACATAAAATTTCTGTGGCTTGAACTTGTTCCATCTATTTGCTGTTCTATAAAGATTCACTGGTATTAGTAGATTTTTAACAAACTATAAACAGGTGATCTGTAGAGTGTGAGTTAATATATTAGTGTTAGTTATTAGCTTGTGTATGTTATTTGGACGTTATTCTAAAGTTGCAACTATTTCTTATTTATTAACAGTTAATAAATGAATAATTGCAACTTTAGAATAACGTCCCAATAACATGTGTAAACAATTAACTGATACTTTTACTTTTAGTTTTTTTACTTTAATGCCATATTGCTCATTGCTTTCAATGTAACATTAAGAAGTTATATCAAAGAATACACTTAAAATGCTCCTTTAAGTAGCTTTAGTGTAGTTGGCAATATTTGTCACTAGCACTTGTACTGTATAACTTTATGTTCAACTTAGTTCAAGAGCAACTAAAATTTAAAGCAGCTTTTCACAACACCACTGTTTATTGTAAGAAATGTAGAATGAGAAAACTTCCTTACCCAGAAAGGGTGAAAGGCCAGGCAGCTGATGGCTCCAATTCTCTGCCCCATAAAACCATCATAGTATTTAATGTTGCTGATCACATCCCCATTAGAGTTATGCACAGCTATAAACTGATTCATAGAGCCACTGGGAAAGAATGTGCGAGAAAGAGAGAAAATGGGATGATTATAAACAGGAAAGGTCAAGCATTTCAAAACTAAATGATATCATGATTATATTTTAAGATATCCCTTGAACTCTGCCCCTCACTGACTCCCCCCCCCCCCCCCCCACCCCCCCCAATACTTATTTGAACTGCACATACGCACTGCACATGGACATTTGTAATTATGTACACACCCACTGCACATACACATTTGTAATCATGTTAATTTATCCGCACACTTTTGATTATAAATAGCAACCTGTACATATATTCATTTATTGTAAATCTCTGTTCATAGCTAATACAATCTGTATATAATGTTCATTGGACATCCATCTGTAAATATCACCATAGTTTTTCTATAACTGCACTTTATGACTTATACCTGTATCCTGCACTTGCTGCTATTGCACTGCTGGTTAGACCTAAACTGCATTTTGTTGCATTGTACTTGTACATGTGTAATGACAATAAAGTTGAATCTAATCTAATCTAATCATGGGCATTGATTTATTTTATTTTGGTCCTGTAATACAGTGCCCTCTGGGGAAAAAAGTGTATAAGTTTACAGTTTATTTAAGATGTTTTTTTATACTATGTACAGTTGAAGCCAGAATTATTAGCCTCCTTTTTTCCTCGATTTCTGTTAAACAGAGAGATTTTTTCAATAATTAATTCATAGTTTTAATAACTCATTTTTAATAACTGATTGCTTTTATCTTTGCCATAATGACAGTACATAAAAATGTACTAGATAATTTTTAAGACACTAGTATTCAGGTAATTAGGTTAACAAGGCAGGTTAGGGTAGTTAGGCAAATCATTGTATGTCGATGATGGTTTGTTCTGTAGACTTTCGAAATATAGCTCAACAGGGCAAATAATTTTGACCTTAAAATGACTTTTGAAATATTAAATAGCTGAAATAAAATAACTTAAATAAAATGTTATCAAAATACAGTGAAAATTTTCTTGCTTTGTTACTTATCATTTGGGAAATATTTCTTAAATGTATATATTCTCAATAAAGTCTCAATATGAATACAGTTGAAGTCAACATTAGCCCTCCTGTGAATTAATATAAAAATGATCTATTTTTCAATTCCAAAGGATGTTTAACAGAGCAAGGTATTTTTCATTGTATTTTCTGAAATATTTTTTATTCTAAAGAAAGTTATAGGACTATATTTTAAAGATCTATGCGCAAAGTCTAAAGTGCATTGAACAAAAGCATTAAGGGCGTGTTCAAATTAACTTTTACTATTTTAAGGATGGAAAATATGGTTTAAAATGATGAGGTCTAAAAGAATTGTGTAAGTGAAAAATCTTTGTAAGTGAAAAAACTACAAGTCTTCACCAGTGAGAAAACAGTTAAAGAAAATTTAAAGATAAAATACTTTTAATTCACTCATGTACTTTTGTGGAGTAAGAAAACGGTGGTGGGCGCCCTCCACTAAAGACTTCCCTTAGCCTAGGCCTACATATGTAATTTTGTAAATTGTTAAGTGCAAAGATTTGTTTTAAAACAATTTCTAAATTCAATTAGGTAAAAAAAAAAACACAGTTACATTCAAACACACTTTCTGGAAGCATATCATGTCCTATGCACTTGGTGCCATATTGTACCGGGTGTATGATATGGTCTTTATTGTTTTATTCTGACTAGAATAAAAATAGTTTTTATATATATATTTTTAATCAATAATTAATTCATTTTCTTTTTAGTTTAGTCCCTTTATTAATCAGGGGTTGCCACAGCGGAATGAATCACACTTATCCAGTATATTTTTTAAACACACACACAGCTGAAGTTGTATATACACTCACCCACAGACACACACTCAGACACACACACACAGACACACAGACAGACAGACACACACACACAGACACACAGACAGACAGACACACACACACACACACACACACACACACACACACACACACACACACACACACACACACACACACACACACACACACACACACACACACACACACAATATGGACAATGTAACTGAAACACTGGTCAATTTAGTGTTGGAGATTTCATGGCTAAATTTGACCAGACTGGTGGGTAATTTTCATTGAATGCACATTCCACCACTAAGAGCAGAGTGTGAGGGTTTAATTATCCGAGTTATAGCACAGTGGTTAAAATATTTAGGTCACACTATTGCACACTATTGATATATCAGAGTTCAAAAGAGGACAAACTTCTGGGTGCATGTCTCACTGGCACATTTTTGATCAAGACAGCAAGTCTTGGTAATGTATCAAGATCCACAATATCCAGGGTAATGTCATCATACCATTAAGAAGGATGAACCATATCCAACAGGAGTAACTGTGCAAAAGAATAGGTAACAGAAAGGCAATCTGCAAAAGCAAGCTGTCTGAAAGGGATATCTGGGTACTTAAAACATAAAACCACAGCTCCCCAACTCACTAAAGAATTAAATGTGAACCTCAACTCTCCTGTTTCCATCAAAACTGTTAGTTAGGAGATCCACAAGGTCAATAAACATGTCTGGGCTGCTATAGCCAAACCTTTGCCAAAGCCAAATGTCTGTTTTAAGGGTGCCAGCTACAAAAATTTTGGGTTATAGGCAGGTCTATGATCCTGACGGTATAATAACCTAGGATAAAAATATCACGATTTTAAGGTAAAGTGGTTACTGCTCTAAAATACATTCTTTTAATTGTCTGGGTAAAAATAAAAAAATTCCAATTGAACACAATATAGTTTATTTAAAGAAATACTTAAAATATTTAAAAAATCATTTGTTTCTGCAATCTTGATTACACATATTTCCCTACAACTTGAAAAGGCACCTTTGGATATTTTCTTTGAATATAAAGTAAGCTGCACTGGACTGTTCAGGTCTATAACGTGCTTCGATGTTGCTGTATAAGTGATTGTTTTTCAGATGTTTGTGGGCTGACAGATGCTTTTAATGTTGATTAGGGATGTCGATTTCAACTAAATCGAATGAATATTATTTAAATTATTGATCAATTAATAGATTTTTTGTTTACCCCTTTCATGTGAGTTGTGTCTGCTTTATGACATGTAAATATACACTAATAACGCAGGCATTATTACACAAAGGGAAAAAAAATCTTCGAAAGTCTAGTAAGAAGCAATAACTTATTCAATATCATTGTATAATGACTAAATGCAATGGATAAAAACAGTATCTCATTCAAAGAACACTGAAAAATAAGCCTATAATATATTACTGCCATAATGATCACTGCAAAAAGTGTTCATTTTATAAATAAACTATAAATACAAAAAATAAAAAATAAAAATAATTATAAGTAATGGAGCACTATATGCAAAAAACTAAACTATTATATATGGATATAGCAGGGGTGTTGCTAGAAACAAATCTCTACTGTGGCAGTACTTTTATGAATGCTACCTTAATCTACAAGTACCTAAAACCAACTTATTCAGAGGTGAGAATGTTGACAGCTTTATTCATGGGGTAAACAAAAACCAAATGTTTCCATATGGAGCTCCTCGGGCTGCCTAGCTAAATTTTTTGAGCAGTGCGAATCAGCATCGGCCAGGGCAAAGGGTATGCGATACCATTAATGACTTGTATTAAAAAATTTAATCAAATATATGACTTTACTTGATTATATAGGTTTGTGATACAACAATTACAGTAAAGGATTAATTAAATTTTTTATTCCATGGAGCGAAACAAATTATCCAACTTCACAGTTGTGTAGCAGATGGGCATGAACTAAAATATACAACTCATATAAATTTGTTGGAAAAAAAAATGTCTTTTTGGAATAATTTTCGCTTGGTATAATTTTTATCTTAATTTTAGTATATATTTTTTGGTCAGTTACCAACAAAGTAAACAAGATGAATGAATAACATTTGATGTACTATGCTTCAACAGCAAAAACACAAACTAGTTTGTTAAATAAGATTTTTATACAAATGAAACAAAAGTAAAATATTCTGTTTGCATTAATGTCTTTTTGTATGAAGTATGATGAAAAATAAAAGAGTAGCCAATATTAAACTGTTTTCACTGTTAATGACAAAACCATCCATTGTGGCGGTCAGTTATACTGACAGTTATACTTTAAATGTCAGTTATACTTTACTTTGCTTAATCAAGTCATTTGACCACAATGAGCCAGGTCAGGCTTTACAATCTATTCGCAGCACTAAATGTGTTCTCGGATTACCTCGGAAGAACAAACTCAGCTGGAAGGATGAGAGAACTCAAAAACTGAAATGAGATACTCGCCACATGTCTACATATTTGTGCTAGTCTGTCAGATAAAATTGCTCAAAACACCTTAATATATTAGAAAAAGTAGTTAAAGTTTGGATAATCAATAATTCATTACCTGATCTGTGAATTAACAGCAGCACTTGCGGATATGAGAATAAGATTTGCGCATAACAGGTATTTATGTGTCCCCTAATATGCAACGTCAAAAGAGTGACACTAAGGCAGAAATATTTACTTTCAGCCTGCCACCCTCAATCAAGTTTGGTTTTGGCCCTTTATAAGAAAAAGCTTAAAGACCCCCAAACAGTACACACTTGATTATGCAATTTGTGAAGTCATGGATGGGTCTCAATGCAAAGCATTCTCCAAAATGTCCATGCTTATTGGTCATCAATAAAATGTAATCATTAGCATCCCTAATGTGGATGATCCTTTGCTGCTGGAGATACTGTTGCCCTAAAAATAAATTTGCCAACACGTATAACAAAAAAAAAAAAATGATATACCACATGTATAAAAGAAATTGTATTGATTTTAAAACCAGACTTTTGAACCTTGAAACCATGATGTTTAAACTGGTTATCGCCCTATGCCTAACTATGAACAATGTGAAACATGTGTTGTTTTCTGATGAGTCCACCTTCACTGTCTTTCCCACATCCAATAGAGTCACAATGTAGAAAAACTCCAAAGAAGCGTACCACCATCATAGTACATAGAAGCTTTTCAAGAAGCATGGGGGTGGATCAGTGATGGTTTGGGCTGCATTATCATGGCATTCCCTAGACCCGATACTTGTGCTGGACTACTGAACCATTCTGGAGGACCATGTGTACCCAGTGGTTCAGACATTGTATCCTGAAGGCGGTGCCAGGTATCAGGATAATAATGGACCAAAACACACAGCAAGACTGGTGACAGAGTGATTTGACAAAGATGAAAGTGAAGTTGAATATTCCTTATGGCCTGCACAGTCACCAGATTTAAATATTAATGAGTCTGTGTCAGGAAATATTTCCCACCAAAAGCATCACATAGTGACCTGGCCACTATTTCGCAGGAAGAATGGCTAAAAATATCTATGGCACTACACAGCACAAATGGATTATTGTGGTCTAAAACCAGGTGTTTCAGTTTCATTGTCTCAACCCTGTGTGTGTGTGTGTGCATATATATATATATATATATATATATATACACATAGTTGAAGTCATAATTATTAGTCCCCCCCCTGAATTATTAAACCGCTTGTTTATTTTTTCACCAATTTCTGTTTAACAGAGAGAAGATTTATTCAACACATTTTCCTTGCTCTGTTAAACATAATATGGGTATTACTTAAAAAAGAATAAAAAAATTCAAAGGGGGCTATTAAATCTGACTTCAACTGTATGTGTATGTATGTATGTATGTATGTATGTATGTATCTATGTATCTATGTATGTATATATATATATATATATTTATATTTATACACACACACGCGCGCGCGCGCGCACGCACGCACGCACGCACGCACGCACACACACACACACACACACACACACACACACACACACACAAAGAGGATCATTTTCACACACAATTTTACAAAGTTTAAGTAATGTTATCTTCAATGAGTTGGCCACCATTAATGTCTGAATTAATTAGACATTTAGTAAATGAATCAAAATCAAGTCATAGTACAAATAAACTGTAAACAACAAGAATACTAAAGAATACAATGATTGTGTGAAAAAATAAAATAAAATAAACGCAGTGCATCTGCATCCCTCACCAAGCAAACAAATTTGCCTGTGGATGGATGTCTAGGGCTGTCAGTCCTTTCACTGTTTGCAAGGTGTTGACTGATTCTGGCATCCGTGGGTCAAAGAACCGCACATCTCCATTTACACTGCAAGAAAGAAAAACAAACTTTGTAAGCTGAATTTAAAGAGTGTCAGTCCCAATTTTTTAACTAATGAGAATGTTATTCGCAATTACCTGACACTGATAATGTGTCCTTCCGGCTCTTTCTGCAAGTGTGCCTTAACCACCCAAGCTCCATGTTCCCTGTAAGTCATCACACGACTGTAGAAAAAGATATTTGTTTAGGGCACTTACAGTCAATAAATATGATGAAGCACTGCTGAGCATTGATGGAACTGCAGTACTATGACAGATTGCACCAGAACACAGAATAACAAATGGTTACTTTAGTTTGAACATGGACGATAATTTATCAGAAATATGTTTCCTCTGCATTTGCTGTTTCCTGTGCATTTTAGCACTTTGGACAAACTCATGGAGTTATCAGTAAGATTTTTTAAAGCAATTATTTTAATCACAAGGCTGCTTTGAAAATGTATACATCAATCTGTCCAAAAAAAGAATTTCTTTTACAATTTTCATACCTTCATGAATGAATTCATTTTGATAATGAACACATATGTATTCTTTTAGATAAAAAAAAAAGTTCAATGAAATTAAAATTGATGAGTAACCAACATTCTTCAACGTATCTTTTATGTACTACAGAGGTAAGAAAGTAATACAGGTAAGGCATGCGACAAGTGGGGGCAAAAAATTAAAGAATAAATTGCCTTGTACAATTTACAACAATCGCAGGTAAATTTGGGAAAGTTTTGTTTAATCCAGCCATTTTTATTATAGTGTACATTTTTTTCTTTAATTAGATTCAATAAATACAATAATTTTTTTAATTGTAATTTATAACAATAAATTTAATACATTTTAAATAAATATTTAAAATAGTTTAAATACATTTTATATTATATTTATTTTTTAATATAATGTACATATTTTAGTGGAAATTAACCACATAATAAATACTAGAATTCAAGGAAATTATTATTATTTACAATGTGTGTTTGAAAACAGTTGTACAACAGACCTTTTCTGTTTTTGAAATGAAATTGTGAAATCTGGGAAAGGAGTCAAAAATGTATTTAAAAATAATTTGAACAACATCATAGTGTATGCAGAGCATGGGATGCAAGTTTACTTAAATTTTATCAAGCAATTTACAATTTAAAGTACTGGGACTGCCAGGCTGAGTGTAAATTACTAAAACATAACTCAACAACATTGAATGAGCTGTGGGACACAGAGATGAAGTACAGAATGTGAAGATTGTACAATTACACATACAAACTGATGGATGTGACTAGGCTTGCCACGATAGGCGGTGATACCGGTTTTAAGACGCAACACCGGTGACATCACTTTTTCACCGTGACACCGTCCCCACATTTGTTTTCTTTTTAAGTATTCGTTTTTTTTTATAAATTTTTTTAAATTAAATGGGAAACATAATTCTTAATAATTTACTTAAGATGAGAGCATGCTCTATAATTATCATCTGAATATAGCTACAATGCGTCATATATTATTTATCACATAAAGAGAACGAGAGGAGTCGAATTTACAGAAAGAGAATGGTGGACGATTAAGTGTCAAAACAAAATGCAAAAGCGCGTTTGGCTATATTTTGGGTTCAAACCAAATGCAAAAAGAGAACCTGAAGACGGTAATGAGGCAATCTGCAAACTTTGCCTGACAAAGTGTCAGCAGTTGGAGGAAACACAACTAATTTATACACGCAACCTCAACACACCTACTTGATGTTCAACTATGGGTGGGTCGCGGGTAGATAAGATCAATAGCCATAAATACGCAACGCATACTCTCATTTTAAAAATTACGCGACCATCATCTCACAATGTTTAATAAAAAATGATCTTTTTTTTTTTTTTATTAAAACAAGAGTGATTTAGCAATGCCACGCCATTAATAAGCCAACTGCAGAGAAACAAAGCAACCATAGCGGCAACAGCCGTGAGCACTTTTTCTGAAGTTCAGCTGTTCTTTTTTGCACTTGATTATTATGTGCTTAATGTTAAATAAATCAATAATGAATAGGCCGACAAGAGTGTAGGCTAACCTGTGTGTGTGTGTGTGCGTCTTGTGTGAGGACGATCTCTTCAAAAACCGAAAGTTGCTTCGTCTGTCTGGCAATATTTCAGCTTTTAATAAATAAAAAGTTAATTTAGATGAGCCTATATTATTTAATTGCAATAAATTAACTGATGTGCGGCCACACATCAAATCTGAGGTCTGATCTCATCTCTCTCTCTCGCTGTCATACAGACACAGATGCCTAACGAGTCAAGTCGCAAAACTGAGGCTGGTACCAGCTGACAGGTAGAATAGCTGAAGCCTTTGCAAAATCTGTCAAAATACAGCATAAAATGAAACCCAAAATAAACTATTCATTGCATTTTCTGTTTGATAAAAATATACATAAACGAAAAAAAAAAAAAAATCAAAGGGTGGCTAATTTGTAGTAATGTGTTTTAATTTTAATAAAAATATGCTCAGCCTATTTAAGCTTAACGGTTAGCCTATAAGCCGTCAATAGGCAAGCCATTCAAAAAATATTATTTTACTGTTTACTGGGTTATAATCTATACTTTACAATAAAAACTTGCAATTTATAACACACCAGAGCTGTAGACCTACAGTCTATGCAGTGCGTAAACTTACAGGGCGGTGTTTGTCAATAGTCATACTGCCCACCACGATCTTTAACTCTAATATCTCTGATGGAGATTATGTTACCCGATAGACAACATTACCTTGAGAGATTTTAAAAATAAAAGGTATTTTAAAAAAAGGAACAACACGCAAATCGCCAACAAATAAAACTAAGAATAAAACATTTTGCCAGTGTATGCTGTGTAGTGTATTCCGCCTCTGACAGTGTAACGCCCCTATGCAGCGCCTGTCAACTGCCGCTTGTGAGAGAGAGCTCAAAGCTGGTATCGATATAACCAAAAGCAAGATCATATCGTTATAAATATTCCATAACAATACTTATCGAAATGTTTATACATTTACATGTTGTTTATTGAGACTGTGTGATCTGTATAGGCTGTCTTATCTTTACAGAAGCTGTAAACTGACACGCGTGCGGTGATGTTTAGCTCTGACAAGGCGCTTTTATTTAGCCTGTAGTCTTTAGATTTTTTACATAATGTTCCATTACTTAACATTTAAAAAAAAAAAATTATTTATAGTTTATATATAAAATGAGTGCTAGCTTGTTTTGTTGTGATCATTATGCAAGGATCATATTTCACATTTGGTTTATTCTTTAATTGCATATAGATTCGTTAATAATGTAGGCTATTTTATAAACGGATTGTTCATAAGGACTAAGCTCTTATTATATAACTGATACATTAAGACAGGGCTATTCAATTAGTTTGTCATGGGGGCCGGTTCATGAAAAGCATCCTAAAGGAAAGGCTGGAGAGATATAACTTGCTAAGTGATGACACAACATCATTTAAGGGCCCACATGCTGTATATTTTTGCTCCTTAAGACAGCCACGTTAGCTTTTTCTACATTAAAATGTTAATATATTGTATTTTGAAACTACATAATATCAGTGCTTTGTACATTAGACTTTTTTTTTTTTTTTTTTTTACAAACATTCAAATGTTGTATTTCAGAGCACAACAAAAGCAGTGCATTGCTTAAGTAGGCTTCTTCTACATTCAGACACATTCATATGTTATGTTTTGAACTGCATAACAATTAGGGATGCAACAATTATAGATTTTGGTTGTACGATTATATTGTCGGAAGAATAATCATGCTTTCACTGTTATCACGTCTAATGTAAATTCAAGCTTTATATTAGATAAGTAGCCATTTAAATTAACTGTTGTTGTCATCTGCATTCATGCATACACAATACTTTTAATAATAATTTGTCTAACATATCATTTGTTTACATTGCACTGATAGACACGCACAACTCTCACCATGAGATGTCTGTCATGAGATGTCTCACCATGTTTCTACTGTGTGCGCCCGGAAAGAAGCAAGCGCATCGCTCCACTTGTGCGCGCATATTGTTATATATTCTTATATTAGAAATAACAAACTTGGAAGCGGAAAAGACGCGATAAGAGAACGGCTGCTGCTATAGTTAATCCTGTGTGGGTGCGTATTAGCCTCGGAGTTCTAAAAAACTTAAAACTAGCGTACAGGCAACTTGGCGTTTTGCAGCGGTTTTGTTTTATGGTTAAAAAGTTTTATGGTTGTTACTTGTTTGGTTCCAACGTCCACAGTTATTTCAGCCTGTAGAATTGTTGTGTTTTTTCCGTTATGTTAATTAAAGTTCTGTGTTTAATAACAGTGATTTTGTTTTTTGTTGTAGTTTCCTTGTCTTTTATTCAAACAATTGACGCTGAATTGCGCGATTCCCGCAAAACGGAAAGTGAAAGTATAATACGCACGCATTTATAAGCTATTCAAAAGCAGAAAAAAAGAGGAAACCCCATGTGACAAGCAGAGGGGAAAATCATGAGCATTTGAAATTACTAGCACAAGAAGGAGTTTTTCGACTTGACATTATGTAAATATTCATATGACATTTCATGATTTAACTACACCTTTTCCTATAGAATTTGCATGTGCGACTTTAACAACTGCAACAGACACTTTACCTGTCCAAGGCCAAATGCAAGACTAAACAAACTCAGTGGACAGGAGTGACATTTTAGTGCTGATTTCTTTTCTGATCAAGTCAGTTGATTTATGACATCTGATTTATGAAGTCAGAGCAGTTTGGTAGTGCATTAGTAAAACATACATTTTTGATTCATTAATATGGTATTTTTAATATTGCCAGCCACATACTGTGTTTTTATAGAACAACTTCTCTAAATTCTGTACAAAAAAATTGTCCTGTAATTTAACTGTTAAATACTGGCAGCTGTAGTTGCCCATAACGCGCTGTTATTTTAAAGTATGTTGCAGTAAAAATTCATGCACTGGATTAAAACATAAGTGAACTCATTTCAATCACAGAATCAACTACCTCAATTTGGCAAACTACTGTTAGAGTTCATGAAGAAATATTTCTAATATGTCATATGTGCAACACGTGCATATTTAGAAAAAAAGAGACGAAAAACGTGAAACAAAGTGGAACACAGTAAAATATTACGTATAATTAATCATACTACTGGGCTTTAACCTATAAAGCTAGCCTAATGAGAGCAAGACTAGAATTACATACATTAGAACAAAGGAGTATTATAAATGCTGAGTTACAGCACCCAGAGAAAAGCTAAAGTTAAGAAATCAAGGAGAAAAATCCCAGTCACTGACCACCATTACGGTAACAGCAAGCGAAAAACAACACCTAAACCTCTGTTAATTCTCTATAAAACTGTATAAAAGTTAAAGCGGTAAACAAGTGACAGTAAAAAGTGAATCTGCTGATGACATGTCTATGATGAATAAGAAGATGTATAAAAGAATCATTGTGGAAAAAAAAAACTTTAATATTTGAACAAAAAGTTAATTATACCCTTCTATATTCCCTTTAATAATAAGTAGAAAAGCCTTTATTGTGATATGTAAAGGGATGCTGACAATGATCCAAATGCAGGATTTATTATGAGAATGGTCAGAAAAGCAATGGTCAACACAGAAAAAACAGATGTATACTATAAAAACATATCTGTTTTTTCAACAACTGAGTTGATTAAAATAGCTGTTTAAATCGTGGTAATTAGGGTGCTTCAGAAAAGCTAGGACTATTTGAAACGTAAAGAACTTTGGATTTTCCTATTGACCGTGACAGTTTGTAAAGGGTTTGAATAATTTCGGACATGCCACTTGTTGTTCAAAGATTAACAAAAGCTGAGAAATATATATTTTTTTCACCTCTTGTACATCTTATTTTTATGTTTATATTATTATTTATTATTATCTAATTATCTTTTAGGAGAAGCCTGGGTCGTTTCCGGTAAAATATTAAAATAGAACACTTACAAAACACCAAATTACAAATACCAAATAATTGATTTGGTCTTTAAGTCACGTGAAATTGGATGGGCAATGGATGTAGACAAAAAACTCAGTGACTCACCACTCATTAGGTCCCATTCTTCGATCATACACTCGAACAGATCCATCTCCAAGGCCTGCGGCTACTAATGACCGCTGAGGATCACATGACAGGCTGGTTACACAACTGTCTGCTCCTGTTGGGATGTCCTGCAACACAGACACAAAAGCTTGATTAAATGGAGGTGTGCTAATTAATTTAACGTGGAACAACATTTTAGCGCCAATATTCAAAGATCATACATACTAATATTATTAGTGAATCATATAGAAAACAGTTTCAATTAACTAGAAAGTCTATGTTAAGCAGCTTTGACAAAATCTAAATTTTAAAAATTAATTGAATTGAAATAAAAGAAGATCTAATGGCAAACTGAAATGCCAATTTAGCATTTTGTGCTTTGCGAAGAAAAACTACTTATTTAGGGGTAATTAAACATACAGTTGAAGTCAGAATTATTAGCCCCCCTTTGATTTTTTTATTTATTTATTTTTTATATTTTCCAAATTATCTTTAACAGACCATGGAAATTTTCACAGTATGTTTGATAATATTTTTTCCTCTGGATAAAGTATTATTTGTTTTATTTTGGCAAAAATAAAAGCAGTTTTGAACTTTTTTACAAATATTTTATTGACAAAATTATTAGCCCCTTTAAGCAAACTTTTTTTTTCAATAGTCTGCAGATCAAACCATCATTACAAATGTGAAATTTCCCTAATCTGCGTAGTTAACCTTATTAACCCAGCAAAGCCTTTAAATGTCACTTTAAGCTGTATTATTTACTGTCATCATGGCTAAGATAAAATAAACCAGTAATTAGAAATGAGTTATTAAAACTATTATCTTTAGAAATGGGTTAAACTTCAACTGTATATGGACCTACAATATCAATCATCTGACAATTGAATGTTTAGTAAAAAAGTTTAAATGAAACATTTCATTTAAACATGAGCCACGAATTGAAGTAATGCACAAAACTAATGGACTAATAAAGCTCATCTGGGACCAGTGTTTTTCAGGTAAAAGTGTGTGTAACTCAGCCCATACCTGAACTTTTATTTCTCTTTCTGTGTCCCAGATCCGTATGACTCGAACATCACCAGACGTCATCAAGAGGCCAGTCTCCTGCTCCCAGTCCACCACCATACCTGCACCTTCAAGAGTATGGATGGTTTTTACATGTGTGTACACGCACGCATGCCTGCACACACACGCACGCACACATACATGCACGCTTGCACACACACACACACACACACACACACACACACACACACACACACACACACACACACACACACACACACACACACACACACACACACACACACACTCTCATTGTAATAAAAGATGGTCCAGTCACACAATACACTTTTTATTTTTTTTAGAATGAAAAAATGGTGAAGGCATCCAAATTTTGTCATAACCCTTGAATAATAAAAGTATCCTACAACTTGAATTAGTTGAATGCGCAAAGTGAAACTTTTGTATCTTTAAAAAATAAAAATAAATTACAGCTTATAAACATGGTATGGTTTTAGAAGTCCAATAATTTATGCCAAAATTCAGAGTTCACTGAGGACACATTATAGACAGTGACTGGTGAAAATAAAACAAAGAAACAATAGTAACAAAGTAGTAATTCACTAGTGGTTTCAACTGGATTTCAAATATGATTTAAATTGTTACAAAGATCACAAAAAGCTTGTAAATTGTACAAAAACTTGTTACGTGACTACGAAACAAGTAGTTGCGCGTGCAAACCCCGGAGATTTGAAACCTGTAGCCCCGCCCACTAACACAGAAAAAAGCCACACACACACACACGCACGCACGAACGCACACACAAACACACACACACGCCGGCCGAATAAAGTCACGATGTGAAGATGGATATTATTGTCTGTCTCTTCCCAAAAATGAAACCTCAGCAGAGCAGTTCGAGTGCTTCTGAAAATGACATGCTTACAAAGAAGACTTCATAGGCCGTTTGTTAAAGGAAGGATCAGTAAAGACTGTCAGTACATGGATCAGTGCATCATGGATAAGTTTCTTCCTCCATTTCACAAGTGTAAGTATGTGTGATTAAAAAAATGTCGCCTTGTTTACTGTAGTTTGCAAATTATGTATTTAGTTGTGTTTTGTTACTTGTAACCGCGTGTACTGTATCAGGTTAACTCTTTATTCTGTTCCTTCGATCACACCGCTCTCAACCCGAAAGTGCATTCTCTGTTTTTAAATGTTTTGGTGTTGTGTCCTCTGAGAAGAAGGGTTATGTGTGTGTGTGTGTGTGTGTGTGTGTGTGTGTTGTGTCCTCTGAGAGGAGGGTAATGTGAGTGTGTGTCTGTGTGAAAAGAGCACGTAGAGTGCAGAGATGTATAAAGTACTAGAGACCCATACTTAAGTAAAAGTACAAGTGCTTTATCAAAAATTGACTTGAGTAGAAGTAGAAGTGCTCTTTAAGCACCATACTTAAGTGGAAGTACAAAAGTATTCAACATTTTTTGTACTTAAGTATTGCAAGTAGTTTATTTCAAAATTTACTACTCAAGTACTGAAAGTAAAAGTACAAGTATTGTGTAATGTAGTTATTAAAGAAAGCAGTCAAAATACACTAATTGTTTTGTTTATTTTAAATATCTTTTTTGGGGTACTTAAGCAGAACGAAAAGAAACATGGCTTATGATACTGTTTTTCTCTGTAAATAGTTTCTATGGTACAAGAGCTCACATCGTCAGGCCCTTTTACCAGAAAATGCCTTCACTGATGAGATAATTCAGCATGTTCACTTACATACATACTCTCTCTCACTCTCTCTCTCTCTCTCTCTCACACACACTCACACACACACACACACACACACACACACACACACTGCCCTGCACACACCTAAATGTACACTCTCTCCCCACTCTCACACATTCATACACTCTCACACACACAGTTCTCTCTCTATCTCTCTCTCCCTCACACACACATTTTTGTGTATTGTGGGGACATTACATAGGTTGCAATTGTTTTTACACTCTCTCTTACACACACACACACACACACACACTGTTGTTTTCTCTTACTCACACATTATTCACTCTCACTCACACACACACACAAAGACACACTCACACTTTGGGAGTCTTGAAGTTTGATTGGTTAATACCACAATAAACAGGAGTTCTGTCTTCTGGAAGCACTCGTGAAACTAAACTAAACAAGCAAACTAAATCCTGCTTCACAAATTCACTTGATTTTGATTTTATTGTAAAAAAACAGGAAAATGTGTATATTACTGTGTTAAATGAAAATCTGAAATATTTTATGGCTTATGGCTATGATTTAGTAATAATTGTTATTTATTTTTATCATGTTTTTAATGAAATTGGTCTTACAGTTCATATTTCTGTAGTATATTTATTAATTCTGGTACTTTTACCATAAACCAACATCTCAACCATTTGGTAGAGGCTGATATTTTAGAAATAATGTGATGTGTTGAATAAAAATGCACTGATTGTGTTAACTAGCGACATTAGGAGTTAAGAAATGCAATCAAAAAAATTCTATTGCTTTTGTCTTGGTGTGACAGTTAAAGGGTTTTTTGTAATAAAATTTTGTCCTTTAATACAGCAGTCAGATATACGAACTGTGCCCTTAATTTGACCTGCTCAAAGAAAACACTCTTTCTGGATGTATCAAACTAAACTCATGCACAGAAGACAGCGCGAGCATTTACAGCTAATAAACTCATGTCAATATTATCCCGCCTGCTTTTTGAGCATGACAGGCGGGTCTTACACGGCTATGATTGGTTATTGTCCTCAACAGAAAGGGCTTTAGAAATATAAGCGCTGTTCACCCATGGCGGGAAAAATACGCGATTATCACAGGTAATAGACACAGGGGAGAAAGCTTGCACATGAGGCACGCTTATGTCTGGATCCGCAGCTTTAACAGCTAAGAAGAGAGGAAAAGTTACCTTACAAACTGGCCAGCGGGTCAAATGTCCAAAGTGAGAGAGCGAGAGATAGGCAGAGGTGAAGTTTTACAACATTTCTCCCTAATAGTAAACTAGCGGCTGATATGCTGTGCCGCCTCGCACTCGCGCCTCCGTCCTTCGCCATAGTATTGCGACATCGCGCATAGGAGATAAATGACGTCATCACGTAATAACCGGGTATGACCTATTACTGAACTGATATCAATCATTTTGACACCCCTAGTAACGAGTAACGATGCAGCACATAAAAAATCTATCGGAGTAAAAGTATTAAACTCATGGAAAATATGTACTTAAGTAAAAGTGGAAGTAGGAGAAAAAAATAATACTCCGGTAAAGTACAGATACTGCCTTTTAGTACTTAAGTACAGTAGTGAAGTAGTTCTACTTCGTTACTATACATCTCTGGTAGAGTGTGACAAGCTAGGAGATCTCCTCGCCAGTTCTTGGAGTTTTTGCTCAATAAAATTGTTAGTCTTTAGTATCTTCAAATCCATCGTCTGTATTTACATTCACCCACTGGCAGCCAAAATCCACGCCTTACACTATGAAGTGTGTATGCACTGTGACAACTTTTATATTGTTAATTATCTGCTGGGCATTTCACTCTGTCTCGCGCTGAAGGCTGTCAGTGTCGACCAATCACAGCAGGCTATCATCGGTCCAATCAGCATAGATTAGCTTCGCGCTAAGGAGGGGTTTGGGAACAAATGAATCACTCTACACCTAAAGCTCTGTTCTCAGTTATACACTCTGTTGTAAATCCAGCTGTTCAATCAATGCCTGTTGCTTCAAATGTTCTATGTGAAAGCTTTTTGAGACACTTCACTAACAAAATATCCATTTTAAGGACAAAAAGCATTCACTGGATCCCTCTATTCTGAATAGTTTTCGCCCTATCTCTGTCTTACCATTCTGCTCTAAGATTTTAGAAAAAATCTATCAACTGCAATCTTTTTTAAAAGCAACTGTATCGCTGAAATTGTTTTAGTCTGGGTTTAAAATGGCTCATAGCACTGAAACAGCCCTCCTCAGAGTACTTAATGATTTCCTGCTAGCCACTGACTCTGGCAATTCTGTGGTCCTAGTTCTTCTAGATCTGTCAGTGGCATTTGATACTGTTGATCACTCTATCCTGCTGTCCAGATTAGAGTCAGTTGTGGGCTTGAAAGGCACATTCCTTAAGTGGTTTAAGTCTTTTCTCTCTGAAAGAAAGTTTTCAGGTAAATTAGGTAACTTCTTATCCTCTTTGCATGATCTCACACCAGTCTTAGCTTCCTCACTGTTTTCATTATATATGCTTCCGCTGGCAGTCATTTTAAGAGGTCATGGGGTGTCTTTACGTTTTTATGCTGATGACACCCAGATTTACTTTCCTTTTAAGAGGAATGACCCTCTCACAATTAGTACCTTACTAAGGTGCTTAGATGAGATCAAAATCTGGCTATACCACAATTTCAAAATTTTTTATAATTAAATGAGGATAAAACAGAGGTGATTGTCTTCAGCCCTACTGATAACGTTCAGGCCTCTTGCCTAGATTTGGGCTGCTTATTTGCCTTTAGATCGCCCCATATCCACAATCTAGGTGTCATCTTTGATGAGTCATTAAAACTAGACCAAAAGATCAGTTAGGTTATTGTCTCCAGTTTTTATCAACTACATCTGCTGTCTAACGTTCAATCACTTTTTAAATCTCACCACTCTAGAGATGGCTGTCCACTCATTCATTTCATCACAGTTAGACTACTGCAATGCACTTTACTGTGGCATGTCAAAATCCCAGGTTTCTCACCTTCAGCTGGTCCAAAATGCTGCTGTAGATTTATTTGTAATAGCCGAAAATATGAACACACTACCCCTTTTCCAAGAGGCCTGTGGCTGCCTGTGCAATTCAGAATTGGTTTTAAAGTGCTTTTACTAATTTATAAATCCCACCATAATCTAGCCCTATCCTATCTCTTAGAGATACTTCATCTTTACACTCCTGTGAGATCTCTTAGGTCAAGTGAGCAGAATCTTCTTTCAGTTCCACAGTCTAGGCTGAAACCTAGAGTGGACAGAGCTTTCTATGTGGCAGGTCCTCGATTGTGAAACACCTTATCGCCTGTGATTAGAATGGCTCCATCAAAATCTTTTTTTAAATCACTTCTGAAAACA